CATAGCACTTGCCATCTATTGAAAGAAAAAGAAGAGGGGTTTGACGTCTTCTGTTTCAGGCATCTTGGATTATAGATACGGTCTTGGACATATCAGCAAAAAAGGCTCCTTAAGGTTGTTGTGTTTATATTACAAAAATGCTCTACTCAATTGATTTTCTACAGATTTTTAATCATTTAGCTGTACAAGTAATTCAACGATAGAGACTACGCAATCCTGTTGTCACTTTTTGAGGTGTCAAAAAAAAAAATTATAAACAAAAATAAACAAAAAAAAGTGTTGTATTTTAATGGGACACTAGAGTCACTAAAACAACTTGTGTTTAATTAAGCAGTTTTGGTGTATATGTCATTCCCCTGCAGTTTCACTGCTCAATTCTCTGCCAGTTGGGAGTTAAATCACTTTGTTTATGCAGCGCTAGTAATATCTTCATGCATGTGACTTACACAGCCATCCTAAACACTTCCTGCATAGAGTCATCTAATGTATACATTTCCTTTATTTATGTATCTCCTGCTCTGTTAATAGCTTGCAAGATCTTGCAGTTAAAGGACACTCCAGGCATTAAAACTTTATCTCAATTAAGTTATGGTGCAAGGATGCCCCTTGAGACACTCTTATTTCTAGAGGTGAAACCGTTCTATGTTTCCTTCAGCGTCGGTCTCCACTCTTTACCTAACGACTTCTCAATTTTGAGATTCGTGCCACCAGGCAAGGGCGCCGCTGGTTGGCTGAGAGTGGTCAACTGACTCTCAGCCAATCAGTGACTCCCCATTCACTAAACTTGCTTGTAAAGAAATGTACCTTTTACAAGCCAATTTAGTGATTGACTGAAACCGAATCTGAAGATTCAGAGGCTGGAAGCCGTGAGTGGAGGAGGGGCGACTGGCACTGGAGGTAACATAAGGGTTAAACCAACTGAGAACGGTTTAACCCCTTGACATAAGAGTGCCTCTAGGCACCGTAACGACTTAATTTAGATGCCTGGAGTGTCCATTTAACATCTGATTGAAAATGAAACCATTATTTTTTTATGCAGGCTTGTGAGTCACAGCCAGGGGAGGTAGGGATCGGACTGCATAAACAGAAACAAAAAGTGACAACTCCTAAAAGGCAGAGAATTGAGCAATTAAGACTTCAGTGGCATGATCTTTACACAAAATCGTCTAAAGTTGTTTGGGTGATTATAGTGCCCCTTTAACTCTACCACTGCATATAATGATCAGTGTTTACGCAAAGAGCTGAATTAAAAGTTACAAAACATTATGGATAGTCTAAAAGTGGACATGTTGAGTTTTTAGTGAATTCCTGATAATGTATTGTTTAGTGCAGAACTGTGAATATCTGTGGGTGAATAGGTAAGGTCTTTAATTTATTCTCTTGCATTTCTACAATACTTTTCCAACAGCCATGGCATTTGTGCACATCTACCACATTGTTTTAACTGGTTTACTAAGAGAAATGAATATATATATATATATATATATATATATATATATATTTTAAGTTATATAAACATATACACACACACACACACACACACATAGAAGTAATATTATATATAAAAAAATAGGGCAAAAAGATGTAAACGGTTGAATTGGAGAATTGCTCCAATCTAACCATTATGACCTAAATGTTGCAATTTATTTTTCAAATTACAGTTTAGTTAATAAGCCCTGAGGCAAATATGTAAATAGTATAAGGACACCATTACTCAATAAAAATGCAAATTCATGAAAATAGTTCAGTCTTTAACCCCTTAAGGACCAAACTTCTGGAATAAAAGGGAATCATGACAAGTCACGTGTCCTTAAGGGGTTAATATAACAAGCAAACATATTGTGCAACACAAGCAGGTCCCCACATCTATATACACGTTCTAGGTGTAACTAGTGTTTGGGAAGGCACTCCTTGTTATATAAGTGAGGGATTCTGATAGCGTCCACAAGGTGTCACACTCTGTTCGAGCAAACCAGTGAACAGCAACTCCTTATTTACTAAATTGCTGACGCTGGCTTGAGAGGGTGGTCTCTCCTGTTGCACAGCCTGTACCTTACTTTCATCAGCCCACACACAAAAAAGTGCAAGGGGGAATAAAATAAAACACTGGCGTGCCAAGTAGGCGAAAGATTATATCACTGGTTTCGCTTGCAATGACTGCTGCTAGAAACCATGATTTTCCATTTGTTAAGAAAAGTATATTCCTGAAATGATACACGAGTGTTAGCCTGGTCACACTCAGACATAAAAAAAAAAAAAAGCCTAGTGTGTGAATACTGTATATATTTTCCTCAGCACCTTCTGTTCCTGTACACCCAACGTCTGTTGTTGCAGCTCCTTGTTTATTAGTCCACCTAATATACAGCGCTGTGGGTGGAAACAAAAAAAAAAAAAAGCAGTAAAATGACTAGCCTTATGCCAAGTAAGAAGAAAACTTTCTACCTACTAAACCTTGCACAGTGGTAAACTACAAAGAATGCACATGTTTAGCCAACAGAACAAAAAGTGTTTTTTTTTCCCCTTTCTAGATTTTGTGGAAGTCATGTCATGTGGAAATTCAAAAATGTCGCCATTTGTGGTTTAAATAAACCCAAAAAGTGATCTTGTATTAAAAACAAAACAACAAAAAAAAAAAACAAGGGGCTGCCTCACGGACTAGGTGGCTAGTGTCTACAGTTTGCAATTCTTTGCAAAGAACATGCCTGTATCTCTCCCTCCTGCAAACTTCAAAGTATAGAAAAGGAATACTATATAGGAATATGCATTTTTAAAGAGGAAAAACAATTTAATTTAAAATTTAACTTAAATCATCCAATCTGGTCCTAACCTAAAATTAGCCAAGGTGAGCATCAGATTTTAATATACAACAAATCCCAGCATTTACCCCTGTGATTTTTAGCCCTAAAAATAAATAATATCCCACTTTGGTCCTGAGCTGAATTATGTTGCAGGTTCTAGAGCCAACACGTCATCCCCTGCCCACGTCTAAGTCAAGTTCAAGCATTTTAACTTGAAATCTTCAGCCAATGTATATTTTTCTAGCCTAATATTAGGCAGTTATACCACTGCATATTAGACAGCAGTAACCAAATCCAGCCTCTGTATAATAAAACCACAAACCTTGAATAATATACACCACATTTAATAAACCCCAGCACATGAGAATAAACTCCAGATATTCTGCAACCCCCAGTTCCTATTTTCAACACAGTTAACCTCTAAGTTTTCAGACCCTCTGTGTGTGACACCAAAACCAAATGTAGTACATTTTAGCAATGTTCAGAACCCCACTCTGTATAATATCAATTGCTTGCAATACTCAAACTATTACTTTATAAAGGAAATTTCCTTCCATACTCTGTACAACACTGCCTGCAATACGCAGTAGTTCTCTGTAAAGCACTGCAATATGCAGTAGCTCTTTATACAACACTACAATATCCAGTAGCTCTTTCTATACAACACTGCAATATGCTGTAGCTCTCTGTAAAGCACTGCAATATGCAGTAGCTCTCTATATATAACACTGCACTATGCAATAGCTGTTTAACAATGCCTGCACTATGCAGTAATTCTCTCTGTATAATACCGCCTGCAATATGCAGTAGCTCTCTCTCTCTATACATATATAACACTGCACTATGCAGTAGCTCTCTGTTTAACAATGCCTGCACTATGCAGTAATTCTCTCTGTATAATACCGCCTGCAATGTGCAGTAGCCCTCTCTGTTTAAGACCACCTGCAATAATGCAGCAGGTCTCTCGCTGTATAACATTGCCTGCAATATGCAGTCGATTTCTCTTGCTCTGTATAACACTGCCTGTAATATGCAGTAGGTCTCTCTGTATAACACTGCCTGCAATATGCAGTAGGTCTCTCTGTATAACACTGCAATATGCAGTAAGTCTCTCTCTGTATAACACTGCAATATGCAGTAGGTCTCTGTATAACACTGCAATATGCAGTCTCTCTGTATAACACTGCAATATGCAGTAATTCTCTCTGTATAACACTGCAATATGCAGTAAGTCTCTCTCTCTCTGTATAACACTGCCTGCACTGTATGTCTCTCTCTGTGTATAACACTGCACTGTATATGTCTCTCTCTCTCTCTGTGTGTTTAACACTGCCTGCACTGTATATGTCTCTCTCTGTATAACACTGCCTGCACTGTATATCTCTCTCTCTCTCTCTCTGTATAACACTGCCTGCACTGTATATGTCTCTCTCTGTGTATAACACTGCCTGCACTGTATATGTCTCTCTCTGTGTATAACACTGCCTGCACTGTATATGTGTCTCTCTGTGTATAACACTGCCTGCACTGTATATGTCTCTCTCTCTCTGTATAACACTGCCTGCACTGTATATGTCTCTCTCTCTGTGTATAACACTGCCTGCACTGTATATGTCTCTCTCTCTCTGTATAACACTGCCTGCACTGTATATGTCTCTCTCTCTCTCTGTATAACACTGCCTGCACTGTATATGTCTCTCTCTCTGTATAACACTGCCTGCACTGTATATGTCTCTCTCTCTCTCTCTGTATAACACTGCCTGCAGTGTATATGTCTCTGTATAATGGCCATGTCAGCCCATCCCCTGCAGCCAGCCCTCCTGTACAGCAGAGCCCCTTCCTATCTGCCTCCCCCTCTCAGCCTTTAAAGCCGGGGAAGCACACCGCCGGCTACCTATGGGGCGATAAGTGGCGACCACCAGGGTGACACCTCCAGCAGCCGGCAGTGAGGGGCTGTGAGGGGCAGCGAGGGGCTGGCTGGGAGGGAGGGGAAGGGACACCAATGGTTTTGGCGCGAAATCTGTAGCGCCTCCCCTGCTTTCTATGGCAGGCAGTGGGATGGGAGGAGGAGGAGGTGAAATTGGGTCTCGGCTTTTCCCTGTGTCTCTCCCCCTCCCTTCTCTCGGGTGTGTCAGACGGTTTTTTTTTTTTTTTTAGTTAATAACATCCAACAGCTTCAAAGTGCATTCAGTGACAGTGTGCAGGCAGAGGGTGCAGGGTTAGTGCAGTGCATCCAGTGACAGTGTGCAGGCAGAGGGTGCAGGGTTAGTGCAGTGCATCCAGTGACAGTGTGCAGGCAGAGGGTGCAGGGTTAGTGCAGTGCATCCAGTGACAGTGTGCAGGCAGAGGGTGCAGGGTTAGTGCAGTGCATACAGTGAGTGCAGGGTTAGTGCAGTGCAGTGGCAGTGCAGTGGCAGGGTTAGTTAGTGAGAGCAGAGGGTGCAAGTGACATACTGCATGCACATGAATACAGTGCATGCAGTGACAGGGAGCATTGCAGGGATACAGTAAATTCAGTGACAGGGAGCATTGCAGGGATACAGTGCATGCAGTGACAGGGAGCATTGCAGGGATACAGTAAATGCAGTGACAGGGAGCATTGCAGGGATACAGGGCATGCAGTGACAGTGAGCATTTGCAGGGGTACAGTGCATGCAGTGACAAGGAGCATTGCAGGGGTACAGTGCATGTAGTGACAGCATTGCAGGGATGCAGTGACAGGAAACATTGCAGGGATACAGTGCATGCAGTGACAGTGAGCATTGCAGGGATACAGTGGCAGGGTGCAGGTCTGGTGCATGCTGGATAGTGCCCTGCATTCACTGACTGGCTGCTACATTGACCCTGTAGATGCAGGGATAGAGCAGTACGGAGCATCGCGGTGACAGAGAGAGGTAAGACTGCACTGCCACTATTTACACTGTCATCATGTCCCCATTGCCACCATTCATACTGCCACCTTGTACACTGTCCCCATTGCCACCATTCATACTGCCACCTTGTACACTGTCCCCATTGCCACCATTCATACTGCCACCTTGTACACTGTCCCCATTGCCACCATTCATACTGCCACTATTTACACTGTCCCCATTGCCACCATTCATACTGCCACTATTTACACTGTCCCCATTGCCACCATTCATACTGCCACCATTGCCACTATTTACACTGTCACCATTTACACTGCCACCTTGCACAGTCCTTACTGTGACTATTTACACTGTCATCATGTTCCCATTGCCACCATTCATACTGCCATAATGTACACTGTCCCCACTGCCACCATTCATACTGTCATCTAGTACCATCCACACTGCCACCTTGTTCACTGTCACCATTCTCACTATATCCAGTCTTAGCCATCCTCTGTATGGAGCCTGCATTATACCCACATCTTCAGCCAAACATACCCTCTGTCCGCATCTCTTCAAGTCCAACCCAACTTGCCCTCTGACAGCTTCTACCTAGCATGCCATCTATGTCTACTGCCCCCTGTCAGCATCTGTAATCCTAAATACCATCTGCAGCCCTGCAAATCAGCATGCATGTTCTGCCCTCTGTCAGCATATCCAGCCCTGCAAATCAGCTGCATGTTTTGCCCTCTGTAAGCATATCCAGGCATACATGCCCTGTTTCTTATACCCTCTGCATATCCTGCACTCTACATTCAATGCAATAATTCCAATCCTCAGCATTTCATGTCCCCTGTCTCTTTTACTCTCTGTGCTGTTCTTACCTCTGTATCTGCTACCCCCTGCATACTCTGCTCTGCTACTGCTTTCTGCATGCCCTGCTCTAGATACCTCCTACCCTCTGCATGCCCTGCTCTAGTTATCTCCTACCCTCTGCATGCCCTGCTCTAGATATTTCCTACCCTCTGCATGCCCTGCTCTAGATATCTCCTACCCTCTGCACGCCCTGCTCTAGATATCTCCTACCCTCTGCATGCCCTGCTCTAGATCTCTTCTGCATACTCTGCCCTCTGTCACATCTACAGCCTATACACGCTCACTGTATCTTCTACACTATCATCAATACAACCCAAATCCCCATCCATATGCCTGTATCTCAAACCCTAGACACCCTCTGCATCCCCTGGCATGTGTCTGAATTCTCATTCTCCTGCTTACCTTTTTTTTTATTTTTATATCTACTCTTACCAATATCTCCTATTTATGCACAATGCATTTGCTGTTCTATCTGCATCTCCAATCCTAATTACCATCTGCATCTCCTATTCTCTACTGCATCTCTGCCTGCATTTGCCACTTTACATACCTTCTATCCTATATTCTAGTTTACATGCTGCTTGCACTCTGCCATATGAATCTGCAACTCTAAATACTATTTATGCATATTCCATTCTACTACTATTTCCTTCCAACTCTGCTGTCTGCATATACATGTTCCCTGCATCTCTAATCCTATATAACGTCTGAATCTTGTTCCTACTCCATATGCTGTCTGCATTTTACACCCCATATGCTGTCTGCATTGCCTCCACCCCCATGCTGTCTGTGTCTCTGCACAGAAATCGATACTCACAATTTTCCAAAAGAGTGCCCTGCATCTCAGTTTCCTTGTACAATTAATATACTGCCACAGTCCAATTCTTCAGCCCTGCATATAGTCTGCTTTGCTTTTTGCTATGTATCACTTGTGTGGTCTGATAGGTAATGCTTGCCTTTTTTTCAGTAAATCAATTATTGGGTTAGTTCTAGACTGCAGAATTTCATGAATTTTGTAAATATATATGTTTTTTTTTTTTTTTAAAAACATGCTTCTGTGTGGTTTTTACACAATCAGACTGATTTGAATTTAAATTTTTATTTTTATTATTATTATTAAGAAGTGGGATTGTGCTGCTAACAGAAATAAAAAGATTGGAAAATTTGGACACGATTGTGGATGATAGAATGCTGGAGTGATTGTGTGTGTTCTGTTGCCTGTGCTTTCATAGTAATGCATACAGGTTCAGTGGTATCAGGCAGTGGTAGTGAGTGCAGTAATAAGAGGCAATGTGGGAGTTGCTAATGATTGGTGCAGAGCTTTCCCAGCACTGCAGACACATCTATACATCCTCTGCCTGCAGCGCCTAGCAAAGACTCCCCTAAACTCCATGGATCACTGGCATTTGCAGCTGCTGTTTTTTGTTATTCATTTCTAGTGCCACCCAGACACAAGATCTCTCAAGTCCATTCTCATCTACTATGTATTCTTGACTGGTGTCTCATAGTTTGTTTTTTTTTCTTCTTCAGGTAGGAGTTGGCTTTTTCTTTGGATAATTGTATTCTCCAAGTAATTATTAGTTGGGAAAATGCCCGGCGTGGTGAGTAAGAACACAGATCTGGAGTTTGACTCCTTGCAGCCTTGCTTCTACCCAGACGAGGATGATTTTTATTTGTGTGGCCCGGATTCTGCTCCCCCAGGAGAGGACATATGGAAGAAGTTTGAACTGCTGCCCACTCCTCCCCTTTCACCCAGCCGAGCAGGGTTGCAGAGTGACCCACTGTCTCCTGGGCAGTGGCCCTTGCTGGATTATGGCTTGCCTGCTGATGGAGATTCTTTGGACTGGGCTTCAGAGCTTCTGCTGTTGCCACCTGAGACTGATCTGTTGGGGGGAGCTGGCTGGGGATTACTACAGGGCACAGAGCTTGGCTTGTCTCCTTGCAACCTCAAGTCTATCATCATTCAGGACTGTATGTGGAGTGGATTCTCCGCCAGAGAGAAGCTAGAGAGGGCAGTGAATGAGAAGCTGGGAAAAAGTGCTGGTGCCACAGAACCTACCAACCCAAACCAGGCTGTCACCTCTGCCACCAGCAACATATCAGAACGAGGAGATGATTTGACCAACCCTGCCACACACTGTGTGAACCCAGCTGTGGTTTTTCCTTTTCCAGTCATTAAGGGGGAGAATGGTAGAGTTGTGCATGCTGGATCTTCGAGCATATCCACAACCGTGCCTGCTGTTGTGCCAGCAAGGAGCTGCCCTCAGTCCTGCAGAACCAGCTGTAGTTCTGGCTATGACAGCCGCAGCGATTCAGGTAAATAGTCTCCTCTCTTTCTATTCTTTTTACAGATCACCTACCATTTACATGCTGAATTTGTTCAACTATTTGTTTTCAAAAGAAAAGTGTGTGTGTGTGTGTGTGTGTGTATATATATATATTTACACATTGTGCGTCCAACTCGTCTGGTTACAATTACGTATCTGTTAGTCCACCCATTGTACAGCGCTGCGGAATTTGTTGGCGCTTTATAAATAATAAATATATAGAGTGTGTGTAAGTAACCTATATTACTATGCAACTATCTAACACAATACACATTTAGAATCTATGAGAACTCTTCTGAAACACAAAATATTCACTGTCTATAGATAAGTGTTTTGCTATTTGGATGAGTGTAAGTCTCTTGAACACATAGCAAAACTAAGATCTGTTGTGGTGAAACCAAGTTTAGGTGTAGGTGATAACTGTTTCCAAGCCATAGGTAGTATGTTCTGATTATTGTTGTGTTATGATGAGTGTTACCTGTAGAGAATAAATCTGGAGCAAAGTTCTAAACAGTGGAGCAAGCAGAAGGAACATTCTGTTTGTTTACAAGGTGACTGTTCCACTCAGACAGAGTTCTACACTAAACTTTAATGGTGTCTAATTAAAATCCACATCGCAAAATGTAGGCTAAAATTTCTGTAAATTCTCAATCACAGCTTTCGATATTTTAGCCTAAATTACGCTGTTCATATTTTAACTTGCTCCTGTTTTAGTATTCGTGAATAAACCCTGTTAGAATGTTGCTTAAAGCTGTTGTTTACCACCTTCCCATTTCTGTCAACAAGCTGTCTGTTGAAAGTTTTGGCATGAATCATCTGGTAAAAGTATTTTTGGTTACCATAAATTTTAACATACACGATTTCATTATGGGCCTTTGATAGTTTTGTAGAGGTATCACAATTTTTCTGTCTGCAGCACTTTTAATGTGAAAGTTGTGGGGTTTTCTTTGTTTTTGTTCTGGATGTGAGTGTTCTTGGATGTTCACAAGACTACTAACAATGGCAGATTACCTACCATTTTGGCAATGTATTTTTTGGCCATTTGTATTTTTTTTTTTTTTTTTTTAAAGCTTGAGTCAAGGTTGTACTTTGTCATTTGCTCATTTGCATTGGATGTATCTGACAAGTAACATGATTTTAGAAGCTGCAGACACAATAGTCTCAGATCTCAAAATCCTTTTCTAGTGTGAATGCCTTTTAAAAACTAAATGTATGTATGGTTTGCTGTATTAATCTATGGAGCCAGAAGGTGGCAGTATTCTTGGGTTTGAAAGGGTTTATTGAATTACAGAGGCCTTTTTAAGCAGTTGAAGCAGCAGACGGGGTTACTGTATATCTAAAGGTAATCCTATCATGTTAGTTACTAGTAACAGATGCTTGGCAACTTAAAGAGAGGGTTCTCAGGCAGAATTACAACACCATTTCCACCCTGTCCTTAAGTCGGAGAGCCACCCATTTATGTATGTGACATGCTTATTAGATGTTAGGGCACTCAATGTATTTTATGTATTCAGAGTGAGGTTCTGCATGGTTCAGAGTGTTTAACTCTCCCTCTTCTGGTGTAGCTTGCATTGTATTGTATGCTCTAACAGCAATGTCACAGTTAACAAGAGAATTGGCACAATGTGGAAAATCAATTCAGGGATGTTTGCTGGCTTCAAGAGTCTAGAAAAGTGGATTGTTAAACAATTGAGCTTATTTGTGCACACGGGGGCCATCATCATAAACTGCCTCCAGTCCCTTTCATGTTTGCGCCTTGACAGTTTTGAGTGAGGAAGTGCTTCCTCCAAACAGCTGTCTTTTTGGCAGTAAACCAAATCTCTGGCTTAAAGGGGCCCAGAGATCTGAGCAGGCACACATTCTGCCTAGGAACAAATCCAGCGATTGTCTGGACTTCCAGTCACACTGGCAGACGATTTGTAGAGTTATCGTATTTTTCCAAGTACTGTAAATCTACAGTTTTGTGCTTTTTCATGAAGCCTGTGGCTAACTGTACAATTTCTGTCACTATATTTAATGTAATCCATTTAGTGAGGTCATGACTCATGCATTATACCTATACCATAATGTAATTTTTTATTTTTTTGCACGTTACACCGTTTATCCAAAAAATATCCATAAATATCAAAAAGCTGTAATTTTTTTTCCACACTTTGTAATGTTTCAGTTGTTTAAATGTGTATAGTTCGCCACCTGATAATTAACCTTGATGATTTCGTTGTCTATTTTTAGATGATGATGAAGAGGAGGAGGAGGAGGAGGAAGAGGAAGAAGAAGAAGATGAAGACGAGGAAGAAGAAGAAATTGATGTTGTAACGGTAGAGAAAAGGCGGACTTCCTCCAATAAGTCGATGACATCACTCACGATTACTGTACGAGCGAAGAACGCCAACCCTGCTACAGCAAAGACCACACAAGGGGAAGTGATCCTCAAGAGATGTGCCCCAGTTCATCAACAACACAATTACGCTGCTCCTTCGCCATACGTAGAACCCGAGGAGGTAGCCCCGCCTCAAAAGAAGCCGAAAAATGAGGTGACTCGTACAGTAAAGAGCGTAATACCACCAAAGTCTAAAAGCTCTAGTCCTCGCAACTATGACTCAGAAGACAGCGAACGAAGGCGGAACCACAATATCCTAGAACGCCAGCGCCGAAATGACTTGAGGTCAAGCTTTCTAACACTAAGGGACCACGTACCAGAACTTGCTAAAAATGACAAGGCAGCTAAAGTGGTCATCTTGAAAAAAGCCACTGAATATGTTCATTCACTTCAGGATGATGAGCAGAAATTATTGCAGGAAAAAGAAAACTTGCAAATGCGACAGCAACAGTTGCTCAAGAAAATGGAAAAGGTTCGGACTTGCTAAGCTTTTCTATTTTTTTATTCTCATTTTTTTGTTTTGTTTTCTCCTGTAACGAACTGTCACTGCCACTTTGCACATTTTTTGAATCTTTAAAACAAAAGGCGTTTCCATGTTCCTGAATGTTGGTTTTATTTCAATTCAACTCACTCCGCAGTGTGTGTGTATATATTTTTTGTTTTTCTAAATAAACTTTTTTTATTTTTTTTTTTTTTTCTAAAATCAACTGGATCACATTTTAAGGAGTTCATTAATAGACTTGCCAAATTATTTACTGTACTTTTATATATATATATATATTTTATAAAATATATATTGCATACTTTTTAGATTATTTTTTTTTTCTGTTAGCATTTTTGAGCTGCTGACAGTTTTTTGTTTTTGTTTTGTTTTTTGTTTTTTTTATTGATTTGTTATCCTTTTTTTTTTTTTTTTTTTTTAATTTTTGGTAGGGTTGGTTATGGTGCTTATACCGTTATGTACGGATGTTACTTTTGAGGGTTGGCAATTGTACCTCTGGGTAAATTTCTGTAAATATCATTCATCCACTTGCCTTTTTGTACATTTTTCTTGGGCTTTGCTGGGATGCTATTAACTACCAATATTAAACTGAAAGCTCAGACCTAAGTACTGTAACACCTCAATGTTTGAGGAGCATGTTTTGTATACAAATATATTGTTAATTTCTTCCGTTATGTACTGTACTAATTCTTACAATGCCTGTATACTTTAGTATGATGTTGATACATAACTAAATTTGATACTTATATTTTCGTATGAAAATGAGTTGTGTAAGTTTTGAGTAGATATTACTTTATCACTTTTGAACTAAGGAGTTTTGTAAAGAAAATTATTATATATGCCTTTTTCTTAACCTGTTTTTTTCTTTGTTAATGTATTTGTTCATGGTTTTGGCACATTGAACTGGACAGTTTACCAATTCTGTGTCTTTTCTCATTTTCTTTTCAAAAAAATGTACATTTTAGTGCTTCATCCTATAGCACTTTGAAATACCTCATGTTTATGAAAATAAATAGCAACAAAACTACACATGTGTGTTTTTATCAGTACTAACACTACAAATGTACAGTAAAATATAATTCAAATGTTAAACACAGATTTTAATCATAGCGGTGTCCGAGTGATATATTAATTATACAAAGTAAATGTACAGCATTGTAAAGTCTGCACTTTTATAATGTTATGTATGCTAATTTATGTGAATTGTTGCCACTCCTGTAAAATTGTTCAACACCGTAAATGGTGGCAATGCAAACTTCTGGATTTAAAGTCCTCCGAGTGAATATAATAGAGGTCAAACAACGCTAAGGACACAGTAGTGAAAATCTCTAGCATTTTCAGCAAACCAGTATCTATATATAAATTTAAAAGTTTGTTCGATATAACTTTAGCATGCCATTAAAAATGAGCAGAAATATGCACAACTGGCTAAGTACAAGGCATATGACTTTTACGAACAGATAAGTATAGCTAGTTTGCTGGCAACACTAAAGTTATTTGGGCTTTGAAACCAAATCATATGTGAGTGACTTGGGGAGCGAAACAGAGCAACAGAGGCTTTTTTTTTTTTTTTTGCAATTTGATTTGCACAGGAGTGTAAAAAAAAAAAAAACTTCCATAGAAGCAGAATACATCTAACTGGAAACGTTATTGATGTAGCACCAACAAAGTCTGTAGAGATGCGAGCAACTTGTGTTCACTATGGATGAATAGAACTTCCTCCACTAAAGTCAATGGGAAAACTGCATACTAAATAGCAGAGCATTGTTTTTATTTCTTTAGAGAATTCAGCCGTATATTGTGTATTATTGGCAATTGAAAATGTAAAATGCAAGTTGCAAGGTACAGAGTTGTAAATGGATGAGAGAGCCTCTCAAAAGAACTGGGAGAGAATAATATCACAGGACCAAAATTCAAATATACTTAAAATATGCACTCTATTACGATGCCCAAGGTTTACAAAAAAAAAACTATAAAAATACTGCATTATATATGGAATTGACAGGCTAAATTGACTAGTAGACTTTTTTTTTTGCTGTCGATATATGCAAAGGCTTGGCCTGCAGTTGTGGGAGAGGCATGTTACACTACTTAAACCCCCCTACTCACCTTCCTCCCTCCCGTACGCGATTTTAACGATTCGCTTGTCCCCAACCTCCACTCCTTCTATCTATATTTTTTCATTACATCTCAAGGGTGGGCTCTCTTTTATTACAGGCTTGCCGCGACGTCGGTTCCGGCCCACCTCCGACTTATTTTCATCTTGGTATGCTTCCTATACAGCCTTATTTGCCCCTCACACAACTCTTTATATTGTGTTTTGATAGTGCCTTTTATCTTCTGTTTTCTGCTCCCTGTTACAATGGTTTCAAAATACCCAACGATAAGCTGACATCATATGTAGAATGTGGTTTAAACGTGGCAAATGTTGCAATATCATTGCTTCTGCTATGTACAATCACGGCAATGCATCACTAATGATCCTATATGTACATAGCATTTAATTTGCATCATGATTGAGATTCCATCTGAGTGAATGATTACCTAAACAACATGGCTTGTCCTGCTCTATTCAGCTCCTATAACCTTAAGCGGTCTTCGTGCACCTTCCTTTCTAACATTTGTATTGTCTTAGCCTACATTTTGCAATTTGGCTTTCAATTCACTATTAATTTTTTTTGTTTGGTGAAAACTTTAATGTTTTTTTCTTGGTACAACAAAAAAAATACTCCAGCCAATCGCACTACATTTTAATAGAGGTGAGTGTGTGTACAAGGGTAAAAAGAACTTGCTCTTTTTAAAGTGACTCTAAGCACCAAAACATCTATCAGTGAAGTAAGCTGTTTTGGTGTATAGATTTTGCCCCTGCAGTCTCACTGCACAATTATCTGCTTTTTAGGTGTTAAATCACATTGTTTATGCAGCCATAGTCACATTTCCCCTGTGGGTGACCCACACAGTCTCCCTACACACTTACTATAAAGAAAGTTCTATGTATAAACTTTTTTTTTTTTATTGCCAGTGTGTTTAATTTAGAATTTCCAATCTCCTGCTCTGTTAATATCCTGAAGGAGACTTGTGTGTTGTTAAATTCAATTAACAGCAGGATATAACTTCTAAAGTAAGCACACTGCGCTGTAAAATCTGATTAAAAATGAAAGCATTTTTTAATCAAAACTGTAGCCTCCGGTAGGGGAGGTGTGGCTAGGGCTGCATAAACTTAATTAAGCATTAGGTTGTTTTGGCGCTTACAGTATACCTTTAAATTCCTAGCAATTTATGTTCCTTTGATCATTCATTCACTTCATAGAGTACTTTTTGCATCCGGCTGTAGGGTTTTTCCTCCTACTCTGGTCCTAAAGTCAAAGGTTTAATAATGAATCTACTGAATCAGCTAAACTGCCAGTTGTTCACTAGTAACAAGAGTGTGTGTACATTTTCTGAATGCGTTGCCCCTGGAGGCAGGATTTAGGAATTGAACACAGCAAGATTCCTACCTGTCTGAAAAAAAAAAAAAAAAGGTCCTGAGCTATGTTTCTGCATTTAAAATGGTAAAAACAATGGGGATTTTGTCATAAGCCTGTTCTCATTTCCATTGCATAAAAATTCTTGCTACAATATTCATTTTTATGTGATAGCTTGTGAATAGATGGCTCATATTTAAGGGACACAGACCTTGGGGTACCCCGTCAGACTCTGGATGGAAACCGTTAATTGGAATTGTCAATTGCTACAGAGCCCCATTGGATGTTCAGAATAAATATCAAAAGATCCTGGGAACAATTCAACAGCAAACATGCTAGTGTTTAATGCACTAAACTAGGAATTAAGCAGATTAAACAAATGGATTGTACATTTAGGGACAAATTAAAATGGCTAAACGGAAGAATGTTTCCAATTTAGCTTATACGTTTCAATTCCTTTGTCATAATTCTCAATTTAGGGAATAAAAAACTAATTTTGGGGGCCTCATTACAGTTTGAGGTCAGGTGAAAAACTCATTAGTAACGATTTATCTAGGAGAAAACTAAATTGATATTTAGAATCTCATTTTTAAATCAATGAAACTAGAAGACTTTATTTTCTGTAGAATTATTTAACTTTATAATAAGGCAATCTTTACAATATTGTCTGAAAACCTATAACAATGGAAGTAAATCTGCTTCCCGGTTATACAAATGCAAGGAGAGGAATATAAATAATGCATTGTTTGCACTAACAATATCCTCCTCATGCTAACCAACTCAGACTCCCAAACCCTTTTGTGGTAATCACAATTTATTGTTAAAATTCATTTAAATATGTCTGGATCTTTAGCTATTCAGGTGACATACACATTGATTGCATGTCTGTGCTTCAAGTTCAATATTAATTTCACAGAATTGGTCATTACAAACATAGCTATCCAATTATCAGATAGTTATAATGATCCATATAAGACGGCAGATAAGAACCATTTGACCCATCTAGTCTGCCCAATTTTCTAAATACTTTCATTAGTCCCTGGCCTTATCTTATAGCTAGGATAGCCTTATGCCCATCGCACGCATGCTTAAACTCCTTTACTGTGTTAACCTCTACCACTTCAGCTGGAAGGCTATTCCATACATCCACTACCCTCTCCATAAAGTAATACTTCCTGATTTTATTTTTAAACCTTTGCCCCTCTAATTTAAGACTATGTCCTCTTGTTGTGGTAGTTTTTCTTCTTTTAAATATAGTCTCTCCTTTACTGTGTTGATTCCCTTTTTGTATTTAACTGTTTCTATCATATCCCCCCTGTCTCGTCTTTCCTTCCAAGCTATACATGTTATGATCCTTTAACCTTTCCTGGTAAGTTTTATCCCGCAATCCATGAACCAGTTTAGTAGCCCTTCTCTGAACCCTCTCTAAGGTATCAATATCCTTCTGAAGATACGGTCTCCAGTACTGTGTACAATACTCCAAGTGAGGTCTCACCAGTGTTCTGTACAATGGCATGAGCACTTCCCTCTTTCTACTGCTAATACCTCTCCCTATACAACCAAGCATTCTGCTAGCATTTCCTGCTGCTCTATTACATTGTCTGCCTACCTTTAAGTCATCAGAAATAATCACCCCTAAATCCCTTTCCTCAGATGTTGAGGTTAGGACTCTATCAAATATTCTGTACTCTTCCCGTGGGTTTTTACGTCCAAGATGCATTATCTTGCACTTATCCACATTAAATGTCAGTTGCCACAGTTCTGACCATTTATTTAAGTTTACCTAAATC